GGTGTCCTGGTGCCAAGTGCACCGATGGACATCCTTATGCCTGAACATGGTGTTCATTATGGACAATCCGTGACTTTCACAGAAGTCCAATAATGAGACACTACTCGGGTTCAGAGCTGGAGGCCCGTTCCTCCCGATCATGCCCCTCCAGGTTTCACTGTCGTTTCCCACGTGGGCGTTGAAGTCTCCCAGTAGAATGATGGAATCCCCGGGAGGGGCGCTTTCTAGCACCCTCCCCAGGGATGCTATAAAGGCCTGGTACTCCGTACTGCCGTTCGGCCCATAGGCTGAAACAACTGTCAGAGTCCTCCCTTCAACCCGAAGGCGAAGGGATGCGACCCTCTCGTCTACCGGGGTGAGACCCTCTGAGACGGCTGAGCTAGGGGGAGACAAGCAGCCCCACCCCCGCCCTCCGCCTCTCCCCGCGGGTCACTCCAGAGTATAAGAGAGTCCAGCCTCTCTCAAGGAGCTGGGTTTCAGAGCTCTGGCTGTGCGTAGAGGATGAGCCCAACTATTTGTAGCTGGTATCGCTCCACCTCCCGCACAAGTTCGGGCTCCTTCCCCGCCAGTGAGGTCACATTCCATGTCCCTAGAGCCAGTTTAAGCGCCCGCGGGTCAGGTCGCCGAGGTCTCCGCCTCTGACTGCTGCCCAATCCTCTTTGCACCGGATTGGCAAACATGTTTTTCTTAATTTTCATTGACTAAAGAGTCCACAGGAAATCACTGTAAACAAGGTTCAAATCTGTGTGGGAAACCCTATTGGATTGAGAGTCCACCACCTTAACCTCTCAGCCATCACATCTGGAGATGGGCACCATCACCCCTCGCAACCCCACTTGGGATTAAGCATGTCAGAAAATGGAAGGATAGATGGATATAACTAGATCAAATTTGAACCCTCCTAACAACAGTTTTTTGTTTTATTGGTTTTTCTGATTCAGGATGAAGTGAAATTGTATCAACTCTCAACAAACCTTTAAAACACTCATAATGATGCAACATCAGCTAAAGTCGCTATATGATCAACAAAGTGCTTTAGTTCCCTCCACATATTCCAGTCTCATAAACATACAATGACATGAAAATAAAGACTAAATTAAAGTTTTTCTTTATATTTTGTAACATTATATTTTAGCATTAATGGTCAGGGAGTTCAAATAGATGGACTCTATTTTTATTAAAGATTACATTTTTTCTAAAACAAAGGTTGATCATTTCTTTTTTGTTTTTACTCCTGATATTTCAGCTTTTTTGCAGCATTGTACTGTTGCCATTTTTACAGTGGACTATATTTTTTAACCATTTTTCTTCTGTAAATATAAAAGTTGATGCTGGCTTTACAATCAACAAGTATTTCTTTTAAATTTTAATGTGAAGAACTCAACAACCTGTGGTTTATCTAAATAATGCAATAAAAATTGAGGCTTTTGGAAATGTTTATTTGTATGGCAATTTCTTAAAAAAAAAATAAAAATATTTTATTCAGTTTCACAGTGAATCCCTGTGAGTTTCTTATTCTTTTAGAGTTATATTTAGTGTTTTTTCAGGTTATTTGATTAACTGTTATCTAATGTATTTAATAAAGTAAAGGACTGCTTTTGTTTTCACAGTCTTTTACTGTAGCTATTTGACAGTGTTTTTCTGTATATTCTAATGACTTTTTTTTTTTTTTACAGTAAAGGTAGACTGTTTCTCGGGGTTTTTATTCATAACATTTTACTGTTTTGCTGCAGATGTCTGTGGCTATTTTGAGTAACAGTATGTGAAACCTTCACATCCTTTCTACAGGGTTTAAGTTAGTAAGATACAAGCTTTGTCTATCCAGAGCAGGGCTGAACATCATGTCATCTTTGTTCTTTTTCTTGGCAAAGAAAAAATGCAGACTGAGTGAAATCCATCGACCTACAGTATGTTACTTGGCTGTGGCTGTTATCTCTATGTAGACTAAGGTTTTGAATGGTCACAATTGTTTTTAGATGTGTTCTAAACTACCCTTAGAAATGGCTCAGTCTTTCATTGCACACCACCATTTTATCTCTTTATCTTTTAATAAGGTTAATAAATGTTTAACTACCAGAGAGTGCCTAGGGAACTAATCAGGTTCTAATCAGTAGATAACCATTACTTACTGAGGAACACCCAGCCCACTGCTATTATGGAACTACTGCTTATTTAACTGGGAAACACTGAGTAACAAGGCAAGGCAAATTTATTTGTATAGCGCAATTCAGTACAAAGACTTTACAGTACAAAGACTGCTTTACATGACTAAATATAGGAAAATAAAACAATCAAAGCAAGTAGGAAAAAATAAAAAAATAAATAAAATAAAAAATGCATAAACAAAAAATAATATTAAAAACAGTTGGACTAAAGAAAATTAAAAAAGCTGAACTAATAATGTTTTAGTTGAACTGTTTTAACTAGAAAAGTCGAAGGCAATCCTAAACTAATGTGTTTTTAGTCTTGATTTAAAGGAACTCAGGCTTTCCGCACTTTTACAGTTTTCTGGAAGTTTGTTCCAGATAAGTGGAGCATAGGAACTAAATGCTGCTTCTCCATGTTTAGTTCTGGTTCTAGGTATGCAGAGCAGGCATGAAATCATTACTTTTACATAATTGATCTAAATTTGAAACCGTCGGCTTTGTGCTAATTAGTTTCTCATTGTTCTGATCATTTGGGCTAATACACAGGGTACCTTATAGGTAAACTGTATTATTTATCTTTTTTTTTA